GTTGGTGTCTTTTTATACTATATGAATGAAATAAATAAATAATAAATTGCAAAAAATATATATATTTTTTGCATAAATAGTTGTTTTGGCATACATTCCCGTGCAGGTGTATATAGTCTTGTGAGTGCAGTTTGAGTTAGATACATAGAGACTTGTGTAATAGTTTTGAGAGTTTGCCATACCTCCTTTCTATTTGATTTATCAATTGGCAGGAAATGTTTTTAATTTTAATCCAAGAATTTCTTCATTCAGCTAAAGGCCAACCTAATAACAATAGGATGCACCTATCCGATATTGGTATTTGTTCTGATACTGAAAAATCTGCTGGATTGGATATCTGCATCCAAATATTGGTTCAGCTGATATATATATATATATATATATATATATATATATATATATATATATATATATATATATATATATATATATATATATATATATATAATATATATAATATATATATATAATAATAACTTATAAGAGAATTCACTGGCTGAGAACTTGGCCCAGAAAGATTTGAATTAGGGGTGTCAAATTATCGCGTTAATTGCGATTAATTAATTACAGTCATATTTAGCGCGTTATGTTTTTTAATCGCGTTAATCTCATTTTTAATCTCTAACTTTAGTGTTTCTGTATGTGAGTTGCTTTATTATAAAACCTGTTTTTATGTGTTGTTGGGACAATAACACACACACACGCACAAACAAAAAACACATTTATACATTTTTTAATTTCGGCAATTCAACTCATTGTCGGAAACCCGCACAAAACACGCGCAGTAAGAGCGACGTTTACGGCGTCAGTCGCACAATGGACGAGGTCGTAGAGCCAGTAGAACAGAGTCAGCAGTGCACAGGTAAAAACACATTCGTGTCTTGGAAATTATTCTCCCGACGTGAAATATAAAAGAAAATAACAAATATAATATCGTCTACAACTTAAATGTCACTGGTGAAAACAACCTGCATAGGCTCATGATGTCTGCACTACTGTCCTATAGTGACCTGCCACATGAGGGGACACGCACACAAACACACACAAACACAAACACACACCTTCATCATCGTCATTAACCTGAGAACGCGCGGACCACGTTTCCTTTCGTAGACACTGCGTGGACACCGACCTGCTCCCGTGAGCCGCGTGTGGATCGTGTTTTCTCGCTACGCTGCGTAAACCGCGCTTCCTCCTGTGCGCCTCTAAACCAGAACTAACACCAAGACTAAAACCAGGACTAAACCAGGACTAAACCAGGTCTAAACCAGGACTAAACCAGAACTAAAACCAGGACTAAACCAGGACTAAACCAGGACTAAACCAGGACTAACACCAGGACTAAAACCAGGATTAATCCATTCCAGGACTAAACTAGGACTAAAGTAGGACTAAAGCAGGTCTAAACCAGGACTAAAACAAGGACTAAAACCAGTGATCTCATATATAAAGCATTTCTCTATCAATAATATTTTTAATATGGTTAAGGAAAGACTGGACTTTTTATTGTCTTTAAGTAGACAAAAGTTATTATGTTCAGATTTCCTCGTCTTTGCTACTTTACAGCAAACAGTTTCTTATTCATGGAGACTTGGGCTCAACAGCCAATTTGGAGAGATTTGTTAAACAATAAATGACTTTATAAAGTCACCTTTTTTGTTCTATATCAGTCTTTTGATCTGCCACAATAATGTAATAATGAATTTAAATGAAAATACCTCAAATTGAAGGCTTTTCTCAGCAATTTTTAGGTGAGATTAAAATGAGATTAATTAGATTAATTAATTACAGATCATAATTAATTAATCTCTCAATTTTTTTAATCGCATGACAGCACTAATTTGAATAATTATTTATCAAAAGTTCTACAGAGATGTAAATAACAGCTACATAATATGTTTGAATTAGATTGGTCTTATTTTATTTTTGTTTCCTTGAAATAAAGTCTCTGCACTTAAATTGGTTGATATTTGGTATCACAGATAAAGCTGTGGTATCGAAATTTGTATCAGAACTGAAAAAAAAAGAATAATGCGTCCCTACAATATTCGACTACATTCACAGGTTTGGTTCAATTTCTCTTTAACACAAACATTGAACCACAAGTGGTTGTATGTGTTTGTTTGACATATTATTTTGTGCAGGATGACTGTGTTCTTCTTTTCTTTTGTATTATTATATTATTGTCCTGTAATGTCTGTGTGATGTCATGGCCCTTGAGTGATGGTGCCCTCTTGTGTGGGCCTTTCGTGTGTGTAAAGTGCCATAGAGATGAAATATGAACCCTGCCTGCCATTCACATTCCCGTTACAAAGATAGGGTCAGTGTCTGTGTAAGGTTCAGGAGGTGTGGGGTCCATTTCTCTGTCAAGCTTACTACCTCTATAGCTAAATCTGTCATTTAACAATCTTATTGTGGGACACATATGCTCCTAATTTAGTTTGCCACACTGTGACATGCAACCAAATTGTCCTCAAACAGTATCAGCATCCTGATACTGTTTGGTGTAATGGACATACAGGAAGAGTGCACTGTAATGGCGGCCCTTATGTAGTCCAGCGTCTCCTTCAGCACCTAAAGGGTTAAAACTAGCTTCAGCTACGCTCTCAGTCTCAGTCATACTCACACACTCACACACACACACAGACGTGCAAACGCACACACGCACACACTCACACACACACAAGCCAACCGGTTTGAACCAGTTCTCAAGCAAAGTGCTTTGTGTGTCCCACTGAATCCCAGGAAGGGTCATGTCATGTCTCTGTGATGTCAGAAAATTTTAAAGTTAAGACTGAGCTTTCATTATAAAATAACTGGCATCATTATGGCTCATATTCTTGAGATATTTTTGTTTGTACTTCCTGATCTTTGATATAAAGCATAATCATGTCAGAGACAAGTAGTCACTTTTTACTGGGTTAATAGTTGGCCTTTTAACCACAAACTTAACCGCAGGCCACAATGTTGCTGTGAAAACTAAAACTAAAAAACGTCCACATGCTCGTACATACAGGACAATATGATATGAAGTAGATATATTTAAATATTTATGTATATATATTTATGTACATATGTTATGTATGTATTTATGTAGGCAAGGCTGAGCTGGGGTTGTACTTGGATGAGAGACCGCTGGGAACACCAGGTGCCACAATGGGGGGCCTGTCATTGTGTCCTTAGGTTTGTGAAGAATCCCTCAGTTGTCCAGGTAGAATCCATGGGAAGGAGAAAATTCAGTTTGTCGACTGGACAAAAGTTAGTTTGGTTGAAGACGTTTTGCAGCTCATCCAAGCTGCTTCTTCAGTTCTGGTCAGAAAGCTGGTGGACACTTCCTTATGTCTGTCTGCAAGGAGGAGCTAACTAACTACTCTGAAACTAACATACCTACTTGTTTACAGTTTCTGTTAATTAGATAGGTCCATTGACCTGTACTGGGTGTGGGGTCTAATTAGCATAACAAATCAGGGCCATAATGGGTGCTCCCTCACCTCTCGACCTGACCTAGCTACACCTATTGTACTCTTGTTTGTTTTGATTTAGGTTTGAGGATGGAGTTGTAAATAGGAGAAAGTTGGTGTCTGAGGCCTCCATTTCTGTTTAGAGAAGGATTCTCTTTCTTAACAAAAATGGTTTCTTTCACTCCCCTCTCAAACCAATTCTTTTCTCTGACTAAAATCTGTACCTCACTGTCCTCAAATGAGTGGCCTGTGGCTTTTAAGTGGAGATGTACAGCAGACTGAGGTCCACTGCTGGTCTCTCATCTGTGTTTGTACATCCTCTTGTGAAGTAGCTGTTTAGTTTCTCCAATGTAGCGTTCACTGCAGTCTTCACGGCACAGAATGGAGCAGACCACATTGCTTTGTTTGTGGTTCAGTGTTTTGTCCTTAGATTCAGAGTAGTTAGTTAGCTACTCCCTGCAGACATATATAAGGAAGTGTCCACCAGCATTCTGACTAGAACTGAATAAGCAGCTTGGATGAGCTGCGAAACGTCTCCAACCAAACTAACTTTTGTCCAGTCGACAAACTGAATTTTCTCCTCGCCATTGTGTCCTTAGGTAAGACACTTCACCTACATTGCCTAGTAAGAAAGTGGGGTGTGTGTGAGTGCTGGTGGTGGTTGGAGGGGCTCATGGCTCAGATTGGTAGCTTCGCCCCAGGGCAGCTGTGGCTACAAAAGTATCTTGCCACCACTGAGTATGAAGTGAATGAATAATACACTCTGAAGTGCATTGGGTGTCTTGAAAGGCGCTATATAAAAGATCAATTAATGAATCTCATTTTTAGTGAGATATGCTTCAGCTATGACATGGGAATTGTCAGGACAAATGTTCAATCTATTATTTATGGGACCAGGACACCAGCTATACCTATTCTTATATTTACCCCCTGAAAATTCAGGTAGGATTTGAAATCTTATTTTTCCTCTGTGAATTGCTGCCACTTTTTATTTGAGTAGATCAGACAACAGAGGCCAAAACTACAGAGCCTCAATTTCACGAAGAGCCCAGGCATTTGTTTGTGCTCCAAAGGGTTGAATTGGGCCTTATTTTAGTCAGGCATTTTAGGGGAAAACTGATGTTTTTCTAAGGGCTGGGCAAAAAAAATCTAATAAAAAACAATTTGTTTGGAAGAAAATTTTATTTACCCCACTTTCTTGCATTGGAAATTGCAGTGAAGATGCAGGAAAGGCTGCTCTTACCAGTCACAGGAAGTTTTTGAGGTGATGTGTTCTTCCTTCGAGTGTGTCTCACTGAGAAAAGCAAAGGAGTTTAGCACAGGCCAGCACTGACTGCTCTGAAATCAGCCACATAAAATTAAATGTTAAATTTAGCACTGTTGTTATTATTAGTTTGTTTCATTTCATTTATAAAAGATTTCCCCCATTGGCCAATGGGTTAAATATGATCACTTCTGAAACTTTTTTAGCACTAGAGTTAATTTATTAATATCCAATTATTGTTCTTTTATTAAATCATCTTCTGTCTTTCTGTGCAGGGGATGTCTGAGGAGGCTGTCCGTCAAACTCGAAGCCAGAAGAGGGCACTAGAGAGAGAAGTCACCTCTACAGAGACCTCAAACACTGACAATGAACACAAAAAGCCTAAACTGGACTTACTGGAGCCCACATTACAGACACAAACAAAACCTAACAACACTGAATCCCAGGACAGTATTTCTGACAATGCACACAAGGAAGAACAGCATCGAGACATCATAGCAGAGACATCATTGTCTTTAGTTTTACCTTCAGACGATCAACCAGCAAAGAATGACCAATCGCAGCTGTCAACGAGACCAAAAGAGGAGGCCAGCTTGGACAATCGGACTGAATGCACGAACAGTCCAAGTAAGACGAGTAGAGAAAACACCACAGACACACGGACTCGAGTGCGACAAAAGGAACCAAAGGCGACCGGTGGGATGTTTGCTGCAGGCGAGGTGGAGGCCACCATAAAAGTTGAAGTTCAGGCTGCTGACCAGCCTGTGGATATGACCACATGTAAAGGGTAAGAAACAGGTGTTTGCTTAGACTACTAACAGTGAGAGTAAGTTCAGGGCAAAATTACAAGTGGCCCGTCAACTTAAGTAATTATTAATGGCAAACAATATGTTTGCTTTTCTATACTTGAAATCCCATCTGTAACTTTTAAGGACTCCAGTCTGTAAAAGGCACAATATACACAAAGCTATCATTCATAATATTTGATCTGCCACTGGTCTTCTAGGTTTACTCACATAGCTGGCTGTATTTAAGTAATATTTGTGATCTGGATTCAACCGAGTCGCCACCAGAACCTCAAAATTCACACACAAGCTGCATGTTCCAAACCGGTTTCAACTGGTTGTTGCCATGGTTGCTACATTTTAGGGAGCAGAGGAAAAAGTTTGTAGTCACATGATGATGTCTCTGAGGTGACTTCTTTGGAAGAGAAGTGATTAATCCACGGGACGTGACTCGAGAAGAGACACCCAGAAACTGCACACCCGAGCTTCCCCTTAATTATATAAGCTACACTTATTTTTTAAAATAATTTTCATTATATAAGTAGCACAAATGAGACAGACTTTTAATCAGTGACAGTTAACCCAAAAATAGTCAAATCTATTCATCCAAAGTCAAAACTCTGCTCCAAGTCACTGCTTTACTGACAGAGGATTGGCTGTTTACTTCTCACTTGCTAAGACCCAAGCTGATTATTGATGATATGAATGGACTGGATCTCGATTTGATAAAAAAATGATTTATGTGACTCAGCTATAGCTTCTCTGTATGTTTCCTTTTTTTACTTACTCTTGCTTAAACAATGTAGATGGCTTCTCTGTTATAAATTCAGATTTAGTTGAATCAGCTTTAGTTGATACAGTCACAGGTATTTATTGATTTCATACTATGGCAGCGACAGTCTATTGTCATAGCAATTGAGAAAGCCAGTTCAAAATATTACATCTTTTGAATGGAGAGTCTTCACAAAATTCTTCAAATCAAGAAAGAATCATTTGGCTGAATGAATGTATAATTAATTGTACTTGCATTATTCGAGAAACAGTGACAACTTACATGTAGAAAGACCAAAAAGGTGTAGGCTCAAGCATGTGCTTATTGCACTTCCCCCTTTATACATTGCTGTCATTGTATTGTTAAACTGTTGATGATTCATAAAAAAGAAGGCAAAAATAACAAATTCAGAATATATTGTAACCACCAACTGAGACAGAATTCAAGTATCTGCAGAGGGCTATACATTTAAACCTCTTTCTAAGGTGGAAGAGAAGTACATAACTGTTCACAGACCTACCTACTCCTTTAACATACTCATCCATCCATTTCTTATGCTTATCTGGGGCCGGGTCGTGGGGGCAGCAGTCTAAGCAGGGACTCCCAGGCTTCCTTCACCCCTGACACTTCCTCTAGTTCCTAGTAGCTAACCCTCCAGGGTATCTTGGGTCTTCCTCAGGGCCTCCTTCCAGTGGGACATGCCCGGAACACCTCCTGAGGGAGGCGTCCAAGCCACCTCAGCTGGCTCCTCTCAACATGGAGAAGCAGTGGCTCTACTCTGAGCTCGTCCTTTGTGACTGAGCTCCTCACCCTCTCTCTAAGGGAGCACCCAGCCACTTTCAGCCACTCTGCAAAGGAAAATCATTTCGGCTGCCTGTATCTGCAATCTTGTCCTTTCGGTCATTACCCAAAGCTCATGACTATAGATGAGGGTAGGAAAGTAGATTGACTGGTAAAACAAGAGCTTTGCCTTTCAATTCAGCTCCCTCTTCCCCACAACGGTCTGATACAGCGACCTCATCACTGCCGACGTTGCACTGATCCGCCTGTCAATATCACGCTCTATCTTCCTCTCACTCGTGAACAAGACCCCGAGATACTTGAACTCCTCCGCTTGAGGCAGGGACTCTCCACCCACCCGAAGAGGGCAAGCCACCTTTTTCCGGTCAAGAACTGCAGCCTCCCATTTGGAGGAGCTGATCCGAACAGGTCTGACTTACTACTGGCAATGCAAACACAGTTCCTGCTCTGGTCATACAGACTCATACTCCTGGAGCACTCCCCACAGGACACTACGAGGGACACGGTCGAATGCCTTCTCAAGATCCACAAAGCACATGTGGACTGGTTGGGCAAACTCCCATGAACCCTCGAGCACCTGATGGAGGGTGTAGAGCTGATCCAGGATGAAAACCACACTGCTCCTCCTGAATTCGAGGTTCAACTATTGGTTGGATTCTCCTCTCCAGTGCCCTGGAATAGACCTTACCAAGGAGGCTGACGAGTGTGATTCCCCTGTAGTTGGAACACACCCTCTGGTCCCCTTTATTAAACAGAGGGACCACCACCCTGGTCCAGTCCAGAGGCACTGTCCCTGACCGCCACGCAACGGATCTCACCCCCACCCTGGAGCCTTACCATGGAGGAGCTTACTAAATACCTCAGTGACTTCAGCCAGAATGATGGATGAGTCTGCCTCTAAGTCCCCAGCCTCTGCTTCCTCCTCGGAAAACATGATGGTGAGATTGAAGAGATCCTCAAAGTGTTCTTTACAACATCCCCATTTGATGTCAGATAGTTTGCCAGATTTTACTTGAGGCTGTTTGATAGTGCTCCTCCATGGCCTCTCAGAACCTCTTCCAACCCTGAATTTTTGCATCTGCAACAGCACGGGCTGGAGCACGCTTGGCCCACCTGTACAATCAGCTGCCTCAGGACTCCCACGAGCCAACAAGGCCCGATAGGACTCCTTCTTCGGCCTGACGGTATTCCTTACTTCTGGTGTCCACCACTGGGTTTGGGGATTGCCACCACGACAGGTACCACAGACCTTACGTCCACAGCTACGACCAGCCGCATTGAGTTCAGCATTGGGTTCAGCATTGGGTTCAGCTCAGGGAGGGCATTCTTCCCAATCACCCCTCTCCAGGTATCACTGTCATTGCCCACGTGGGCATTGAAGTCTCCCAGTGGAACAACGGAGTCCCCATTCAATGCACTGTCCAGTACCCCTCCGAGGGGCTCCAAGAAGACTAAGTATTCACTGCACTGCTGTTCGGCCCGTAGGCCAACACATCAGTGAGAGATCTGTCCCCAATCCAAAGGCGCAGTGATGCAACCCTACATACATTTAACACTTAACATACTGTATACACAAACTTTTATCAAATTTCTCAATTTTCTATCTCTGATTTTGACAGACGTGCATTGTCAGTGTTTATAAGTGTGTTTTTTGGTGATTGTTTAGTGGCCTATCTTAAATGAAGGTCTCATATAAAGGGTAAGAATATTTACACAGTTTCCTACCACAAGCGTGTGTTTACATTATTAGTTAAAATGTATTGGTAGTTTGGGCAAGGCAAACTGGTTTTATAATAATATACAGTCTGTAATTTATATGTCCCCCACGTAGTGTCAAAAGAGAGAAACAGCCTCCGTCTCCTGAAGATGACGATGTGATCATTCTATCAGATAACGACTCACTGAGCCCCCCAATGAACGGCCTGAATCACTTTAACGAGCTGGACACAGAGCTACTAATGGTATGTAGCTTTCAATCATTTGTGCCTTTAGTCTGCTGTTACTGATGTTGTGGTCTTTCTGAGTATAGAAGAGCAGTGCGGAGGAAAGGGGTCGCATTATTAAGCAGCTGAAGGAGGAGCTGAGGCTGGAAGAGGCTAAACTGGTTCTTCTAAAAAAACTTCGACAGAGCCAAATACAGCGGGATACTATTCACAAGGCAAACACATTAACTACATAATTTTCACATGATTTATTTATTGTAATTTTATGAATTTTGTTTATTTATTTTTATTAAAATGTTCAGGTCTCAGGTTTGACTGGATCCTCAGCTCCTCCTCCTCTTATTCGAGGAACTACAGTAAGCAGCAAAGGCTCACAGCAGGTAAATGTGGAAATCCTGTTACCTGGTACTATTGCACTTCCTTAACCTGTTACCTATCATTTGCAGATTTTGACAGGTCGTAACTCAGGCACAGTTATTCCACCGCCACTTGTGCGAGGTGGGCAGCATATATCAAAACACAGCACCCAGGGCACCATGCCACCGCTTGTCAGAGGAGCACAGGTGAATTGAGCACCCTTCTATTCATCAACATATATCAGTATTATACATTTTTTTATTATTATCTTGAAAATATGGGCCCTGTATCATGGAGCCGGTCAGGAGCAGCTCAGAGTTTGTTCAAAACATGAAAATTGTATATTGTGTTATTATTTGTTTTTAGTTTGTGCATTATAATGAAAACACATGCTATAATTCATTCTGAAAACATGCTAAATTGTAGCCATGAGCAAATTTCTATCTGTTGTCCTGCATTCACTCTCGCAAACACATCAGTGAACCTGGGACACTGAAAGTAGGTGAAATGTCTTGTTCAAGGACACAACAACAGAAGACAGTTGTCTGAGCAAGGCAGGGGTGTGGGTTCCACCTGCTTTGTGAAATGGGGCTACTGTTATAATATAGTATTTAATTACATAAATGGCTGAACATTACTGCAACTAGCTTAGGACTGATGTGTGTCTGTTCTCCGTCCTGTTGTGGTCTCTCTGTTGTGTCTTGTCCTTCACTCTGTAACGTCCCTTTGTGATGTCCCTGTCGCTAGCCCATTTCTGTGTCTCCACAGCAGATTCAGGCTCTCCGACAGCAGCAGCAACAGCAGATGGCAGCTGGAAATTCTGGCTCAGGACCCCCTCCTCTGCTCCTCGGACCCAGGACCTCAGTAGCCTCCCAGGGTCAGAGAGGTTTGGTTCAATCAGGCCTCATCAGAGTGGGCAATAATGCCAGTGCATTAGTAAGTAGTTTTATTTTTCTTGTTAAAAAGTATTTTAATCATTGGTGTGATTTGTGCTCCAAATACAATTGCAAATTTTATTACATTGCATAGAATGTTTGACAACAGGGTTTTCTCCATACTGAAACCATAGGGTTAACTTATGCGTCAGATCTGTTGAGAGGTGACCCCACTCATTGCATGTTTTTCAAGATAGATATGTTTAATGCCTTACTGTGGAACATTTCAGGCAAAGCGATAGCATTACCACCGACACAACCAGGCGGTGGAAACACAGAAAAGTTAAATAGTGAAGTGAAGTTTGTCTTGTGGAAGAAATCTAAACACAATTTAATTTTTTTTACATTTGTATTTCAAAGGGTTCATCAACTATGAAAAGTTCTACTTCCGGAAGCGGATTGTCGGTGATCAGTGTAAATGACTCTCCTGCCAGTCGCCAAGCAGCAGCAAAACTTGCCCTGAGGAAACAACTAGAGAAGACACTCTTGGAGATTCCCCCTCCAAAGCCTCCTGCCCCAGAGTTTAACTTTCTGCCTTCGGCGGCCAATAATGAATTTATTTATCTAGTTGGACTTGAAGAAGTAGTGCAAAATCTACTTGATACCTTCCACAAAGGTAAGCAGCTGTTCAGTTCATGTCCATGTAAACATTCTTTTATTTAGATAATTAAATTTTATGTAAAGAAAAGGTATGCATGCTTATTTAGTTGCATCCTCAGAAAGTTATTTATTTCTATCTATCTATCTTTACAAACAGGAAAAATGGGCTTTACGTCAAGCAGGCCTATTGTTCGAGACCCCTTTGTCTGCACCCAGTGCAAGACTGACTTCACCTGCCGTTGGAGGCAAGACAAAGCTAAAGGTGGAGTGGTCTTCTGTGAAGACTGTATGTCATCGAATCAGAAAAAAGCTTTAAAAGCTGAACATACTAATAGGCTGAAAGCAGCTTTTGTCAAAGCACTGCAGCAGGAGCAGGAAATAGACCAGTGTATTATTCAGGCTTCTTCAACAGTATCTCACAGTAATTCATCAGCATCACTGAAGGCAGAGCACCTGGTCTCTCAGCAGTTAAAACAGGCTCAGGCCAGAGTGTCATCCTTACAGCATCATACGTCAAGTCGAGGAGTCAACCTGGTTCATCATCACTCCATCAAGCAGGTGAAGAAAAAAATTACATGTTTAGTGTGTACAAAGATAACAGTATTAAGCATGTTTCCATCTTTGTGCAGAGCTCACATGGGCAGCTGTCCCATGGCAGCGTGTCATCAGTCAGTGTTCGAGGCGTTCCCCACTCCTTTTCATCTTCCTCTCAACTCCAGAGTGCAGTGGCGGCCGCCGCTTTGGTCAGCCGGCCAGGTAAGCAGTCCCAGGTTTCTCGTCAGTCTGTCCAGAGTTCAAAGGTGAGCAGCAGTGGAGTCAGCGGCGGCAAGAATTTCAGCGCTTGTAGTGCGTCATCCACTGCATGGAAGAAGCAAAGCAACAGCCAACCAGGTAGACTTTACCAATGCTGTACCTAGCAATTTATAGTCCAAAAACAGTTCTTATTAATCAAGTCATTCTCCAAAACAGTATATTAGAACATTTATGGCTTTAAACAGAGAACTTTTATCCATGTTATAACATTGTACCTTTACTGAAAGCATTGCTGAAGTTGTACTTTGCTTAATTTTCTGCAATTCTGTGTACCCTCTGGGCACTCAGAAATCACTACTTTCAATTTCTCCCTGATGGTTATCTAACAGAAATTTTAACTAGTCCCCTGTACAGTTTTTAGGCCCATCATATTTCACCATTCTTGCTTTGAGCATTTCTGTGGTCAAATTGGCGTCACTATACTGCATGTGTCCCTATACTACAACCATTAAGCATTAATTAAAGCTGAAAGAAGCAAAGGAGCAAGGAATTGGTGTAATTGCCTGTTGGGTTATATTGTAGTGTAGATCTTGATTGTGGTGAGTGTCCTTGGATCCACTGATTTATCATTGTGTTTCTCATAATGCTAAATTTCTGATGCAGCTTGTGTGCAATGTATTATGTGTAAATACATTTCTGAGAATGACTGTAATGCAGCTCTTCCATGTTCACAGGGGTAACTATGGCCTACATAAATCCAAGCTTGACGGGTCATAAAACTTCAGCATCTGTGGATGCTCGTCATAGGGAGTACCTGCTGGACATGATCCCCTCTCGATCATCCATCTCCCAAACAGCCAATACGTGGAAATAATGTAAATGGCACTGTACTGTCATTTAGGGATTTTTTTATCCTTAAGTCTTGGGCAGACTAATGCAGAAACACAATGTTTAAAATGAAGATTCTTTTAATGTGTTAAGTTGTTATAAGTTATGTTATGTTAGCTTCACTTCTTTGGGATACTGCACAGAAACCACTTTTTTGGACAGTGGCAACAAATACTTGAAGGGCTTCCCTGGAGAACTTCCAGATTGGGTCTTTAAGTGACCATATTAAAATCACTGTATACTCTTTTAAAGAAAATTGTGTATACACTTTTTCTACCATGTGATCAAAAATTATCAAAGACTTTGATGCTTGAACTGTTAAGCAGCTAGATTCAATATGTTTAATAAATCAAGTAAACTGAGTTGTAAAATGTTCAGCAACACATCCCTGTAGTTGAGGATTTGAATTCAATTTGTCAGTTACACTTGCAGTAAGTTATTTTGTTTTTCCAGAGTTTGAAAGGATTTGGAGATTTGTGGTTTCCACAAATTAAACAATATTTTTTGGACTTTGTTAACAGCATGCATACCCTTACTCTTATGTTATTTTTTCACCTTTGCTGATAACGCATGGTGTTGTTTGTAATTGCTCTCAATGTTGACATTGTAACATTACTTTGAGTGTTGTTTATTATACTGATAATTGATGTAACTCAGAGCATATGCATAAGCAACCCCCAGTGCACAAATGAAAGTACATTTCTGGCTATGACGATAGTGGAAACCATGTGCCCATAACTTGTTTCCTTAATCTCACTGAAGTTAACTGCTTTTCAATCATAGTTGCATTATTCTCTTTTATGTTACACTTTTGGTTTACTTGTTTTCCCAGCTCCACAATAAATAACAGAATTATATACACTTGTGTTTTATTATGGTATGATTGGGTATAGTATTACATTGAGGGGACTAAAGCCTGTACACACACCAAAGATTTTAGATTGTGATGATGTCATATTTCTAAAAGCTTATTTATGTATTTATACTACTGATTACATTGTACTGCCATACAATATCCAAATGGTACATGGACAAATGTTGAACCTGATTATTCATATTATCTACTAAATTTCAGACATCATCATATTACAACAGAAATCTACATTTTAACCATTTTAATTATACACACTCGTATAAATGATTTTGCTTTCAAATTCTTGATGCAGTACCGAGGCGCGAGGCCTTGGGGCGCTAGTAGCTCTTTGTTGTCTTCGTTTAGTGCAGCGGCAGCAGAGGAGACAGAACTGGAGGAAGATGGCGGGGTCCAAGGTGAAGCAGGACATGCCTCCACCGGGAGGCTATGCTCCTTTTGACTACAAGAGAAATTTACCCAAACGTGGTCTTTCAGGTTCGTATATTACAACGTCGAGATATTGCAAATAAGGACCAAAATCCACTTTAAAACAAGCTAACTGCACGACAATTGGCAACCAGCTAAGCTAATGCTAAAATTAGCACAAGTCTTAGTTTTGCTTGTCAACTGTTTAGTTTTTGAAGTGCAGTTGTTATCAAAGCTATCACTGGGAGACAATCATTTGTTTGTTATTGTTGGTTATGTCAGCCCAGGTGCCCTTTAACTAAAAGTGTTTCAGTTTACAGTTTTACATTTGGGCTTTAATTGTTTTTCGTGCTCACTATGCATTATATGTTACAGGGTATAGCATGTTTGGTATTGGAATTGGCATTATGATGTTTGGCTACTGGAGGCTTTTTAAGTGGAACAGGGAAAGGAGGTATGTGTAGTGTATCACCTAAAATGACATGAAACGCGTAAGAAATGTTCATGGGTGGCTGTTTTTACAGACGTTTACAGATAGAGGAATTGGAAGCACGAATTGCTTTAATGCCTCTTCTACAAGCAGAACATGACCGCAAGTAAAATACCATGCAATGTAGCTTAATATAACTTTAAAATACTCCCAGTGCAGGGCTGTTTTTAATTACTGTTTTGTTTTGACCAGAACTTTACAAAAACTACGGGAAAACCTTGAGGAGGAAGCTATTCTCATGAAGGATGTTCTAGGTTGGAAGGTATAGCAAATTTTCCTTCATTTCTTTTTGCTACCTGTTGATGTTAGGGGAGACAGCATGCAAATGCACACAATATTCAGTTACCATGTCTTTGACAGGTTGGTGAAAGTGTATTCCATACAGACCGCTGGGTCACCCCTCTGCCCGACGAACTGTTCAACCTGCGACCAAGAGAAGAGCTTTTGCACAAACGTTTTGGCTTCTTGTGGTATGTGTAGTACCTCAAGGACTCCCTTACACAGCCCGAGTTGAACTCTGCTGTTCATCTTGTAAATGTTAAATATTAAAGTATACATTTTCTGTACCTGAATATTTTGCCATGTTTTTATTAACTGTTAACTAGTTGTATATGCACCCTGGACTTAGAGGTAATTCACAACTGGGCATTGTAAAACAAGTTCTCGTTTTCAATGGGGCATATTGTGTAAACTGTCTACCCCTTTTGATATGGCTCAGAGTTGTCTTCTAGGTTTTGTATAGATGACAAAGGCTTGGCTTCAGAAAGTGTTCTATTTACTTAACTGTAAACTATCTGCTGTGAGCAGGAGGATCCAACAAGCACCCAAAACTAATCTCAAATTTGCAAGTATTTAACAAGAAGCCGCGTGTGATGCAACTGAATGCAACCTTGATTCAATGAGGTTGTGCATAGCTTCTCTAAAATGACAAATTGCTCAAAAATACTGCCATCTGCTGTGCATTTTAACCAAATCAGCATGATTCAAAGGCTTAATGTACCTTTCTCGGGCAGTAGATTCACAGGGTCTAGTTAAGGCCTGGGGGCCAAATGTTACCCTCCCAGCTTCGAATTGGCCCATATCACCTTAAATACTTTTATGGCATCTGAAAATCTACCATTTACCTTTAGTAATATTAAGCATAATATTCTACGCTGTTCTAAATGCATGTATTTGAATTATTCACTGTAATGACAAGTCTTTGGCTCTCACCTTCATGATATGAGGGCCATGGTGAAATGTTTGAACACCCTAGTCTAGTTCTTGGGCATTTGCCAGATTTCTTACACATGTAACTCATCTGGGGGATAGACCAGTTACCAGATTTAAAAAAGGTATGAGCTCAATAAAAACTGGGAAACAGTTTAATTTTTATTTTAAAAAATAATTTAAAACTGCCCAACCACCCCACAACATTCTGTGCTTCATGTAGTTCATGTATTGAACCACTTTACCCAACACTCCTGCTGCGATTCATTGCACTGTAAGGCTGTTGTATAGAACCCTAGAAGAGGGACAAAATTGATTAGAAATTCACACCAAGTGTAAGTAAATGTAATATTTTAAAAAAGCCAATTACCTGCCAAACATTTGACGTGCCGATTCCACTGGGCTCACCTGCCAAGTTGGGAAATCCACTACAAGCCGTAGTTCAACAGCTCACCCTTGAAGGGAGAAAAGGCCTTGTCATTACAGATTTTAACAAAATGCATGCAATAGTCTTTACCCTTATAAGACAAATTGTAAATAGACTAGGCATTTTTTCTTCAGGGCCCAGGGAAATTAAACACTAATACAGTGAACAGTGACTATCCATGACTGAGAAGGCAATGTTTTTGGTGATCTTTAGTTGGTGAAAAAGAACCCAGGACGCTCCTTAAGGACAGATCTTTGAGGCCATGGCATGGTTTTCAGTAACCCTAACTGAGGGCTAGAAAGCAAATAACTTCATGGGGTGGGGGGGAAATGGGAACTTTGAAGGATGTGAGCAAAGCAAAAGTAGAATTACCTCACGAGCATTGGCCTACTATCCACTTTTGATATAGGCAAGAGCAGCTTTCATCTCTGAGCAGCACAAGTTGGTAGGCGCAACAGTTCACACTCCCAAGGACTTGTAGGATTTTGACGTAGAATTCTTGGATGTAATGAAGCATTAACATGACTAAACAATCTCATTTTTCAGTGTAGCAATGGTCAAATAATCTAGAGCAACCGTACAATTTACTTTGAGAATTACTTAAAATTGGATATATAAAATTTACCTTAACATAATTTAACATTTTGAGAAGGGCAGAGCAAAGTAAAGCCCAGGGTAGTAGTATCGAAAGCCAGAGAATAAGTAATTTTCCACAGTCTTTAATAGGCTCCATGAAGCCAAACTGACAAAATAGATAATACAAAGAACATAAAGTACAAAACTGTTCCCGATTGAGACTACTTTGAGGAAACGAAGTTACATTTTTCGATCACTTTAAACAAGATTCATCCATTAACAGCACATTTAAAAATTCAAATGTTGAGCAGAGCACAGGAGATACCTTGGGCAAACTGTGGCATGGTGCAATTTGCAACTTCATGACAGCCGGCCACTTCGGATGAGTAGTTCACCAGTCTGAAAGGAATTCACTTTTTGGGAAAATTGAACATATGGGAGTCTCAACTGCCTAGGTTCTCAGGAAAAAAAAATCTGGCATAAAAACCCTAAAGTCCATTTTAGGTGTTGATTCTTTCTCGAATGTTTTAAAAACAGGACGGACATGTTAGATTCCCCAAAAATATAAGACTTATGTTTAACCTGCTGGACCAGTAGTCAACAGCAACAAAAGTAGGCATTAAAGTAATGGGTTGAGTCCGAGGAACCTCGTAACTATCTGATAAAGTGTTCAAACTTTTCCATATAATCACAGGTGTTTCTTTAGGAGGAATGGTGCCTAATCAAAAACACTGGACAAATTACCATGTAGAAGATCATTAAAACATGGTTCATTTGGCCACGCAAGTCATTAAAACATGGTTCGTTCTGGAATGACCAGTATATGGCTTCAATGTTAAGATGCTTTAACAATAACAGAACTACAAACTAAGGTGAGCAATAACATGTAGACATTTTTTTCTTGAGGAGCGCATCTTTGCAATACAGCCAGCCAAGTGATGATCTTGAATCAGGGAGATGTTTAGTCCTGACCAGCTGAGGATAAGAAGTGGGCACAAGTAAAGACACTGAATTTCCATACTAGTTTACAACAATCCACTGTACCCATAGTCAAAAACCATCCCTAACTTGGTAGTGAGCAATATCAAGGCAAAACTGCTTCCAGCAGCTTTCTAGCCTTTTATCCATCAAAGAGCAATTGGACGACATTTTGACCCTATGAATTTCTACACCAGTTGAGGCGACAAGTTTCTGGGCAACTAAATCCAACTGAAAGCTAAAAATGACCACCACTCACATAACAGGTAAAAGCAGGGATGTTTTGAAATCTATTTTGATTTACAGCCTCAACATAAGAGCACTTTGCTAGTTTGTTAAAATACTTACTATAACTGTCATATCCATCCCGGTATGATCCAGCACGTTCTCCATAACCTCCCTGCCCCCTAACCATTGGGTAAAAAGGGAGAAAAAGGAATAAGTACTCCAATGTGTAACATGTAAACGATCAGGCCAAAAACATACCTATTTTCCCTGTAGCTACCTCCAGAAGAGTAGCCACCGCCTCCACCGCTCCTGTATCCACTGCCAAAGCTCCTCTCGCCACCACCAAAGCCCCTGTCTCCGTAGCTTCTGTCGCTATAGCTTCTGTCGCCATATCCGCCACCTTGAGGGAATCGTTTATGAGCACAAGGGAAATATGGCAACACGTTGCATGCAGTTCAACTGCTACCTCTCGAGAAACCACGACCTCTTCCACGTGAGCCACTGTTGAATCGTCCTCCTCCACGAGGTCCAGAACCGTATTGACTTCCTCCCCTGGATCGACTGCCCTTTCCAGCTTCATCTACACGTATTGCTCTGCCATCAAGGGTCTAAAAGAGGGCAAAAAACCTTTCAGTTATTGACAAGTCCTTTAAGTATTAAACACTGCAACATTAAAGACAAATTGTGAAATAAAAAAAACTTTGCATTTACCTTCCCGTTCATAGCGTCCAGCGCATCTTTCGCATCTTCAGCATTGTCGTATTTTACAAAGCCGAAACCGCGGGACCTTCCAGTTTCTCTGTCTCTGATAACATCGACTTTAAAGAGGGAAAATAAAATATGCTGTCAATACTATTCAAGTTCCACTGAAATTGACCGCCCACGCATACGCAACCTAAAATGGAGGCACCTACCCTTCTCAATGGTTCCGTATTTCCCGAAGGCCGCAGCCAGTGTATCCTCATTTGTGTCGAAGCTCAGGCCTCCGATGAAGAGTTTTCCTTCGTCAGACATCTTTAAACTTTAAAAAAGTAAACAAGATGATTAATAGAGTGCGCTATCCCACTCAACATTACTGATTCAACATTGCCAGTGTAAAAAGGTGCGCCATAAAAAGTAGGTCAGTAGGTCTACAGCCCGAATTACCGAAATCTTGTAGCTGAGATTAAAAACAAACAAACACCAAAGATTATTTCATGGTTTTGTATCGTGTGTGCATAAAAGTAATTGAACTACAGAATTTTAAATGTCTTATTGAGTCGAGGCCTCGAGTCTCCACGCGTTTAGCATGTGGCTAACTTGTTAGCTTTTTATCTCAGCGCCATTTTAATTCGAGCATCCCTTTCTCTCGTCTGGAAGGTCGGTAAGCTCAGTCAAAGACAAACGAAGGACCAATGCTGAACAATATTGTTATTATGATTACAATAAATGCTTTCTGATCATTGACTCGAGCATTGACAATACTTTAAAAAAAAATATATATATATATATATACTTAATAAATATTTCTTAAAACTAACACCTAAACGGCATTGGAAAAAAGTATTGCCCCATAAACTATTAAGTTATTGCAAACAATATCAATAAAACGTAAAACACAAAGAAAAGTAACGCTGCATACCTTTGCTATAGCGGTGTAGATCTGCACGCGAGTAGGACCGGGAGTGGAACTGGGGTCGAGCGCACGAGTCGCTGCAGCTTTTAAACCCGCGCTCTTCTTTGTCTCTTCCGTCATTGAGTCCATAGCGCCGCTTACTGGAGAAAGTGTATTGCAATATGTGCACCACATTGTAGCATCAACATTTTTATCCTAAAAAAAAAAAAAAAAATTATCCTGATTCCGAGGGTAAGGATACACTGTATATATTGTAACCTATATGGTAAGGGCGGTTGTTGTCCAGCTGGTGACAGTCTTTTTCGATGCATCAAACAGGCGGACATGTGTACCAAATGTTTTATGTTTATGCCTTCTTAGCTTGTCCTGATATTTACATTTTACAAGTTTTTATGTGTGTGTGTTTTTTTAAACAAATGAAAACGCGATGGCTATCAACAAAGAATAGCCACAACAGGCAATGTTTCATGGCTATGGTGGACTGTGAGTAAAAGTGAAAAAGTAAAAGGATCTCATCTTCATCTTGACCCGTGTTAAAG